CGTCAACTATTTTTTTTTCTGTTTTGCGTTTTGGCGCCGCGCAGAGGGGCTCCACATACATTACGTACAGAGACTCTTGAATAACCAGACGGTACAAATTAAGTAAGAGAGCATTGTAACTGTTTATTGAGCTCTGTAACAATAGCATTTGCATAGAGGCTTATATAACACTCTTGTTATATCAACAAATCTTGAGTGTGTTCTTTTGTAACTTGACTTTAACTGGAAGCATTACAATAGAAATAAGTAACTCAACTTATGTAAACTTTAGCTTCAATTTTAAATGGAAATTAAGTTCGTTTTTTATTTTATATATGCTGAAATAACGTTATAGATCTTCTATATTTATCTACAGTATTGCAGAATTCTAAAAGAAATAAAAGAAAATTTAATTTATCAGTTTCTCCCTTAGAGTATCTAAGCTTCGACTTCAATCGAACTTACTCATTGTCTTTGACACATTTAATTTGTTGAAAAACGATACAAAACATTGTTTATCACGTGATTTGAACGCTCAACTACATAGCAAACGTGCCACAACAGCAAAAAAAAGTAGTCGATGATATGTTTGCGTATAAAATCACATTTAAATTAAAATTGAAAACCCAAAATGCAAACAAGAAAAAAAGAAAAAACAAATTGTGAATGACATCATTTGTTTGTTTGTTAATGCGTCGAAATGGGCAGCGCTTGAACTTTAATAAACTTTGCACTTCTTTTCTTTTCTTTGCGTTTGTATTTGTCTTCTCTTTCTGTCTGTGTCTGTGTTTGCCCTCTTGCTCATTCATCACGCTGCGCTCTGCTGTCTGCCGGATTTGCTTGTGACGTCAGCTTCAGGTTTTAATTATACGTAAGCGTGTTGATAGCACGTTAACTTAATAGCTGTGATACCCCTAATGTTTCGGTGTTAATGATCCGAGTTGACGTTTCATTTAGCTGTATCTCCGTCCGATTGATAGACTGATTAGCGGCTAGAGGGTTCTAATTGATAAGATTTTGATTTCAATTTCAAAATAGCTGATGTGTATAGTATATATTAGACTACAGCTGATATACAAGATTTCTAAATTTGTACAAATTTATGAAAATATTATAAACATAGGTCAAAAGCCATAAATAAGGTTTTACGTATGTCTCAAACTTGGTAGATCGTTTGAATAATCGATAAATATCGATTTTCTAATAGACATTTCATTTTGTCTAATTTGAAATGAAATGTCTAGAAGTAGACTGTTAAATCTCTATAGAAATTCTATAGAATAAGTCTTGCTGAATTTTTTGTTAACAGTGATTTGATAATTATCGATCACTATGCCTTTAATCATCATCGACTAAAGCAATTCATTTATAATTGGTATTACACATTTGCCGAATATTCAATAAACATTCAATAAACAAGGCTTAGGTCATGAGAAAATTTCTCATTACCGATTATAGATCATAACCCTAATCAAAAAAAATTCTCTCAAACATATTAGGTGTTTATCTTTACATTGTGGGTATAAGGATATGACTTATTTATAAATTTTATGAGGTATGCCACTGCTGCCCAAATTAAATATTTATTTGTGTGCAAGGAAAACGCAGTATATAATTAGGGGCACAACTGCTAATTTAATTATGGTTTTTTTATGTTTTAACAAAATATTATTTCAATCAATGTCAATGTGGATTGTTGTACGAAGACAGGTCACTATGGATAAACCTAAATAATTTATACAGTGAGCTGGAAAATCCCACTTATAATAGGTCAGCTATTATAAGTAAAGTAAATATACATGCTATATAAATTCATATATGTTCTTTGTGGAGATTGTAATGTAATATTTGTTTTAGTTATTGAGCAAAAAGTTTAGATTTTTTTCTGCTTTTCGTTTATATCAAATGCGATTAACAAAGCCATTGACCGTTGTCCGCATTGACATTGGGAATGCACGCACACAGAAGTAAATATTATATACTATATATGTATATGCTTATATATATGTTCATATATTTTATTGGCGCTTACTGAAAGAAAGAGAACAAAAGTCACGCCGTGCACGTGAGTCATTGCACTCGACGTGAGGAGTCGTCCAGGCTGAGACTTTTACTTTTACTTGGCTGTCGTTTATGACTGTTTCGCTTATTTTTTTTTTGTGTTTTTGTGACGTCTTGAGTGCAGCTGAATGAGTCCTACAAGGGCAGAACCCTGGGACGGTTGAGAGACTCTCGCCTTTCGTCCTTGTCGATGTCGTGGAACTCTGTCGCGGCTCAGCTCGGCCCGGCTTGAGCAAGCCATTAAGAACAGGCAAAAAACAAATGACGAAAAATATATATGAAATATCATTAATCTGTTCGCATTTTATTGCTCGTTCGTCTTTAATTATTTTGCATGCTACAGCAGCATAAAGGCGCATTCTTTATTATTTCACTGATATAATTTACGCCTCAACGGCTCTGCACATAAATAAGAAAAAAAATAATCAAGTTAATTTTAAAGTTATTGCCTGGGAATTTTCACTTCATCAACAATGCACAAAGCTTGGAAAATTTGTGGAAATTGCATTTATATAAGTCAGTTTCAGTTGTCAGCGAAAATTGTGGGCACTTTAATTCTATAAATGGATATGATAATTTAATCTTAATGGAAAAGTGACGCTGAAAGTATGAAAAGTATACAATTTTATATATTTATTGATATATATATATATTTATATATATATATATATATGTTTTTTGATTTAAATTATGAAATTTAAAAGATAAATTCAACCCTGACCAACATAAAATACAAAATATTAAAACCCTTTTTATTAACAAGAAAATGTTGCATATATATGTAAAGAAATGTATGTAAAGGAATTCCAAGTTTCAATGAAACTATCAATTTTAATCGATAGTTAGAAAATGCCATGAGTTATCTTGACTATATCGATTCAGCTTGTTATATAAATTTAAAGTTTTCTCTCTTACCAAATTACATTTTTTTGGTAAAACATTAAATTTATAACACAGTTTTACATTAGGTCTTGTGTTAGCAAAAACTTCACCAAGTTCAATCAAAGCTTTTTTGGTCTTCCCCCTAAGCAGTTCATTCACAAAATTACTTTCCATTGACTCATTGGCCCATACCAAATTATATCATCAAATGTGGAATGCGAGTTTACCTTTGACTTGAAATAGTTGCAAAAAGTTGCCATGCAAGCGAGAATTTTCCATTTATAGACTTTGACTCATCGTCGATTTTCTACCCTCATATCAAATGGAGCCATCTTTATGATGACACATTTAACTGCTGCCAATTTCGATAATTGGCGATGGCGTGTGAAAGAGTGCAACACATTAAACGTTAAGACATTTAGCTCTAACGAGGGTGGTCTGAAAAGTGAATAGCAAAATATAGATTTAAATTAATAATATAATAATATAAACAATAAATAAAATAAACCCTCGTCCATATGTATGATTTTGTTATCAATTGTTTGCGATTTCTAGAGCTCTATCACTATTCACAGCTAGACCCTGATCTATAGCTCATAAAACTCGCCTGCTTTGGTTCAACGGACTCATTGCTAAATATGTTAATCAAATTCAAATCAAGAATATATTATTATTAACGCGTTTGCCAATTGTTAAAAGTCCTTGAAAGCTGCTTCGTTTTGTCTGAGCTGTGTGAAAAACCAGTTGGCCCAAAGCATTTGCTCAAGGTGAACGCGAATCAAAGCGAGTGTTGAGAACGTTTCATTTAGCGTCTTGCAGTGCTCCTAAATTTAAGACTTGAACAACAAAGTTAGTTATTTTCTATCTCTCTCTCTCTCTCTCCCTCTCTCTTAATCATTCAACTTGATTTTGAGGCTAAGCTTTATGTAATAATATAAATTGCAGAGTTGCTTATTTCTTGTTTTCTAGTTGTTGCATAATTAAAAAGCGACTCGGACAATGCCTACATATGCAATTTGTTTGGTCACTCAATAATTAAGGAAATATCTACTTATATGTATTTATTTCCAGCTGCTCCACTGACATGTTAAACCATTTGAAATTGGAATTGACAGACCGTTAAGAGGGCAGCGACGGCGAGGGGATTTTGAATAGAGTACATTCATTCAATCATTTTAATGAGCCAAACGCATTAACAGACTTGTTGGCTGTGGCAACAGTTGATGGGGCGACTTTTTTACTTTTTGATAGATCTCATTTTTATCTTTCAAAAAACATTTTGGCAGTTTTTTCTTCACTTTTTGCGAAAAACTGACAATTTAATTGTGCATTTGACATTGCGCTTTGGCACGGCGTCTCTTTTATTTTTCCGACGAAGCCAAAAGTCGTTTCAGTAGGAAGTTTTATTATCTCTTATATTGACCTCAATTCGCACAAGGTCACATGAAATGTACCGCAATTTAGCCCGCGGATGGAACGGACATTTTTGACACAAAAACAAAACACAAACCGCATCCCAAATCGCGTGATTTGATTTTAATTGTTGGCGTTTGATTTTAAGATAAAAGAGGAAATTAAATATAATAAATTATAAAAAAAATTGCAAGGTTAACATTTAAAATAAGCTTTATACACCAACAGTTTTCATTTGATAAAATATTCAAAATATTTTAATTAATAAAAAAATATTTTAATCTTTGAATAAAATGTGTTATACAAAGTTGTAAAGATATAATTATAAGAACTTTTTAAGTTATTAACAATTCTTAACTGGCTTATAAAGCAGTGTGTATAACAGTTTAAAATGTGTCTGTAAAGACAAAGCGAGAAGATATTTATATGTTTTTGACATGTTGGTTTATAACAGTATTGTATATAACAGTTTTTAAATGTGTTATACAGTATTGTAAAAGATAGCACAGATATTATAATTGTAGTCCCAAAATTGAGCCATAAAACACAGTATAACAGTATTGTATATAACACTTTTTAAATGTGTTATACAGAATTTTAAAGAACATTTTAAAAATACATATGTATTTTAATAATAATCAATTATGTTTTGTAATTTCTTTCAGTGCATCTGGAACAAGCGCAGTTGCGATTGACAACAAAATCGAACAGGCTATGGTAAGTGTTATAAATGAGTCCCTCCTATTTATAGAGCGTCGCCAATCCTTGTCTTTAATTATAATTTGTTTACGTAGGCAATGTCCCTGTTGATAAGCACACACAATCTTTGAGGTTGTTTTTATGCGGCTTATCAAAATGTTTTGTTGACGCGACCGTGAAAAATGACATCAAAATTACTTTTATGCTGAAGCGAAATTAAAGATTTACTTAAGCCCAGATCGCAGATCTTTAAAATTATATATTTTGTGCACTTATCGATACGGCAAACACTTCAAACGCCAATTGAGACGCTAACAAAAAATGATTGTACAACACTTGAGTGTGGCCAAAGACCTCACACACACACACACTTGCACACTAACGCACAGCGCTCCACTCGGCGCTTCTCATTGTCTGCAAATTTAGTTCAATTGAATTGGATGCTACGCGCTCTTGTGAATTTCTTGTGTACATATCAATGGACAAGTACGCAGCTATTTTTAGACCCAATTAAAACAGCAGCTCAAAGCAAATATAAAAAGTCGAGAAGAAGCAGAAGATAACAATTGATTATTATGTATTTTTTTTATATATTTTTGTTTGCGAACTCTTTGTTCAAAATATGTATCCCAGGCAACAATTGAACTGCGCGCCAGCAGCTGTTGTGGGCGGCTTTTGATTGAGCTGAACTTCCCTTACTCCCACTCGAATGTGTTTCTGTACATATGATTTATATATGTATATATATATATATAGCCTTGATTGTTTAGCTGTTATTCTTAGTCGCTCTTTCCCTTGACAACTGCACTAGTTGAGCCGTTATATAAAACCTTTGTATCTTGTATTGTTGCATAAGATGTTGTGTAACTAAATTGAGTTTACTTCTATAATTGGATTACTTTGTATGTTGCTGGCTTACATATTATATCCAAATTAGGGCTTCCTATTGTGCACGACTGAGTTCCACTTGAATTCCTGCTATCGATAGCCAATATACGCATAAACTCATTCATAATATCAAATGCTATCAATTGGTATTTGTGGAATTTTTATGATATTCTAGGGCAATGTTTTATGAGTGGTAATAAATCCATCGAAAGCTCACAGCCAATCTTAACTAAAGTTAAACATAGTGAGTTATCATATGAATTTTCAGTTCATTGCATTAGATTTAGAGCTCTGCAGGGATCATCAATTAAAAAATCCTTCAGTCAAGCTTGAGTTGAGCGCGACTTGTTGCTGAATGTTTTTTTCATACAAAGAACATTCAAAGTCTTTCGAATATTGCTTTTGTATAAAGATCATCAATCAATCAATCATAAATTGAGCGCACATTTTTAGCCTTCGAACTTATTTTCCTCATTCATAACGGATCTGCCTAATTTTGGCTTGGCAACGTATTTGGTTCTACCAACATGTGGCATGCAACTGCAGCGGCGACAGTCAATCAACTTTTCCTTTTGAAATCAAATCTATAACTCTCCGGAGAGCCGTCAAAGAAGAGGAATCAGCAGAAGCAGAAGACGACGCTGTCGTTGACCATTGTTGGACAATTGGGTCAATTCAATTGCCGTCTGCACTTTCTTTCGGGCCAGCAAACTGAGATAAAAAGCCCAAAGCCGATTCTGTCTGCGCCTTTCTATTTGCCCGAGAAGTTTCTTCTTTCTCGCACATGTGAAAGTAAATTTTCCATTTATATTTCACTTTTCTTTAACAAAGTAAACTGAAACAGGATTTATGCATGCTAAGACTGCTGCTGCTACTTCTTATTATTATTGCTGCGATTACTTTTGACCTTGGCAAAAAAAAAATATAAAAAAAATACAATTTTTAAAGCATTTTATTTTCATGCTCGGCTTTTGTTTTATTTTTTTTTACGAGCGCTCACTTGGCTTATCAGCAAATTTTGTTGTTTACAAAATGGCAGACCTTTGCTTAAGTGCGTGTGGCTGTCTGTGTGCGGCGGCGGTTTTCGAACAAATGCCATAAATTGTTTGCCAAAGCAAAAATATAATAATAATAATAATGAACAACATCATAAAGCACACAGCCATACACCCGCACACATACAGAGACTTCATAATCGCTTCAAGTACATTTTGTTTTGTCCATGATATGGCGAAAACAATATTAATTTTGTTCATTTCATTTCATTATAAATTATTATAATTATATATTTTCGATCAAAGCAAAAGTGAAAGTCATCGAATACTTCGACTTCAGAGTAATGTGATATTATTTTATGTTGGATAGGCGATTCGTGGGCTTGAAAAGTCACTTTAAAAATAGATGTGATATAGGTGCCAACAAAAAGGAAACGTAAAATTACGCTTCAATATAGAGATAGGCGTAAAAATATAAAAATATGAAAGTAAATGTAAACGCAGGCAAAGATATTTAAAGACCTTTTTAGATAAGGTATTCTGATTAGATAATCGAAGCATTCAAGTGCTATGAAATGCTTATAAAAGTTGATCTAATGTGTATGCAATATATATGTATGTATGGTATATAGATTAGGTGTGAGTATATAGAGCAGGTGTATATTTATTTATAGACTAATTTTGTGGAGAAAGCCCCAAACTGATGAAAGAAACATTTCATAAAACATCTAGCGACTATTCAATATTTATATAACTGATTAGCCGTATCGTTTATATAGAACTCATAGAACAAGCAAAAACTAAAACTAATTGAGGTAGCTCTTAACTTATCTATCGATCTTAACATTCCATTAAAGATATGCGATAGAATTGAAAAATATCAAGCATTAAATCACATTTCTAAAAGAAGACAAACTTATATAATATCTTAAGCTGCCGTCGAATTGTTTGTAAGGCCTAGCAGCTTAGATAAATCTATTGACTTAGTCAACTATCTAATTATAATTATGAAGGGTAAATATTTATATCAAAAATGGAATATTTTGAGCAGTTCTTAACTTCCGACAGGAACTGCTTAAAATATATGCAGATAAGATATATATTAACTCAATAGTATATCAAATAATATCTGTTTATAGCTATATTAAAAGCGGATAAATAAGTACGATAAGAAATAAGATATAAATATATCATTCCATATGGATATATATAGTAACAATATAGTGAATCGAGTAGCTTTTGCATAGAAAACTCTTGAACAATTTCCATTTTTAACTTTTTATCGACTAATCTAATTACGATTATTCGATTGGCGTACAAATTTCGATCAGCACATTTGCTTGCAATTTATAAATTAGTTTTTCTTATCTCAGCTCTTATCATATCTGTTAACAGTCTTCACCTAAAGCTTATAATCCCTCAAGAATTTCTTGGAATGAGTAATTGAAGTGTGGAAATTTCTTTCTTTAAATATTTAAATATTTCTTCATAAATATTTTCAATTTGTTATCTACAAAAATTCGCTTATTTATTATTCTTTTCTTGTCTTTTTTTTGCATAATTTATTTACAGCTGACAAGAAATATATGAAATATCACATTTTTCCTGTTTTACAAATTCAGGAACAGCAAAAAAAAAAGTATTAAAAAAACAATCATACAAACGCACACGCCCTTCATGTGGGCGGAAGTCTGGCGTTGGTTTTCTTAAACAATGCTTTCTTTATTCGCAAATTTGTATGTACTTAATGTACATGTATATTTATATATATATACTGTTTATTTTGTTTAATTTTTTACACTTATCAATCAGCAAGGCGAAGCTGTTCATGACGTCACTCTTTTGCGCATTTAGAGTTTTATTTTCGCTTTTAATATTTCGGCAAGCAAAGGCACACGATGCTTGACTATCATTAGTAAAAGGTACACATATATATAAACATATATATATATATATATATATATATATAATTTATATATATTTAGTGATAAGAGCAGACAACAGGCTCTGTCACAGACAATGATAATTATGTTAAGTATAGCCACTGGCCGAGGCACGATTATCACGATCTTTCTTATGTTGTCTACTCAAAGAGCCAGCAACTCACACGTTCCAGTTTCATAGGCTAATCTCGTGAACATTGCGCGTAAATAATAATAGTAGAATAATCTTGCGAAACAAATAAAAACATGAAACAATCAAAGCAAAACAAAGTCTAGGCGCCACTCATTGCTGGACTATCAGTTTTTTAATACAAATGCATATTCTTTCATATATATATATTTATGGACACGCATTTGATAAGCTTTTTAGGTTAAACTAATATTTAATAATTGATTTAACAACACTGCTCAAAGCGTTTCAAATGTTTGTACAAAAGTTGAAACCTGATAAGATTTTCGAGTGAAAGGCGGAAAATTGTTAAGCTACTTCAAAGAGAATAATTAATTATATTTTTCTAATATTCCATACGATGAATTTACTATATCTATATAGAATCTATATCGAACATACGAAAATTGTGCTGCATACTTTTGTGCTGTTCCAGCTGTGTTTCTCATACTATAAACTATAAAGAAAACTATTTAAAATTGTTTAAATGAAAAGATTTTAATAAATTAATGGCTGGAATGCTAGGCAGAAAAATATATATGTGGACTTCATTGAAAAATAATGGTCAAATATAAATAGATTGCATGATAAATTATTGAAATATATTTGCAATTATTCAAACTTCCCTCATTTGTATATACATATGACACTTTTGTATAACTGTATACGAAAGTTTGTTTAATATATATTTTTGTAGTCAGTTGCATATATTTTATAAGAAACTTTCTTTAAGATCATAGAAGATGCAAAAATATCTTCAAAAATTAAAACTTTCAAAATCTTTCAAAACTTTTAGTTTTGAAACTATTCCTTTAAGGTACAAGTATGCCAGATTCAGATATATGAAAAAATATCTTTAGTTACAAAGCTTACGTAACCTTTAAGCTAAACCTCAAGCAACAACATCCATTTGCTTTCCGTTTTGGCAACCTTTGAATCGATTGAAAAACAATGTTGCGCCCATAAAGATTGCATATCAGATTTTATATATCACTCGACAAACCTCTTTATACGACTAGTTAT